ATGTGGGTAGAGTTAAGGTGACTATGCATAAATAATTAACAGAGTAGCAGCAGCGTAAAAAGATGGGGTGGGGGGGGGGGGCAGTGCAAATAGTCCGGGTAGCCATGATTAGCTGTTCAGGAGTCTTATGGCTTGGGGGTAGAAGCTGTTGAGAAGTCTTTTGGACCTAGACTTGGCACTCCGGTACCGCTTGCCGTGCGGTAGCAGAGAGAACAGTCTATGACTAGGGTGGCTGGAGTCTTTGACAATTTTGAGGGCCTTCCTCTGACACCTCCTGGTATAGAGGTCCTGGATGGCAGGAAGCTTGGCCCCAGTGATGTACTGGGCCATACGCACTACCCTCTGTGGTGCCTTGCGGTCGGAGGCCGAGCAGTTGCCATACCAGGCGGTGATGCAACCAGTCAGGATGCTCTCGATGGTGCAGCTGTAGAACTTTTTGAGGATCTGAGGACACATGCCAAATCTTTTCAGTCTCCTGAGGGGGAATAGGCTTTGTCGTGCCCTCTTCACGACTGTCTTGGTGATGTGGACACCAAGACACTTGAAGCTCTCAACCTGCTCCACTACAGCCCCGTCGATGAGAATGGGGGCGTGCTCAGTCCTCTTTTTTTCCCTGTAGTCCACAATCATCTCCTTTGTCTTGGTCACGTTGAGGGAGAGGTTGTTATCCTGGCACCACATGGCCAGGTCTCTGACCTCCTCCCTATAGGCTGTCTCATCGTTGTCGGTGATCAGGCCTACCACTGTTGTGTCGTCGGCAAACGTAATGATGGTGTTGGAGTCGTGCATGGCCATGCAGTCATGGGTGAACAGGGAGTACAGGAGGGGACTGAGCACGCACCCCTGAGGGGCCCCCGTGTTGAGGATCAGTGTGGCAGATGTGTTGTTACCTACCCTTACCACCTGGGGGCGGCCCGTTAGGAAGTCCAGGATCCAGTTGCAGAGGGAGGTGTTTAGTCCCAGGATCCTTAGCTTAGTGATGAGCTTTGAGGGCACTATGGTGTTGAATGCTGAGCTGTAGTCAATGAATAGCATTCTCACGTAGGTGTTCCTCTTGTCCAGGTGGGAAAGGGCAGTGTGGAGTGCAATAGAGATTGCATCATCTGTGGATCTGTTGGGGCGGTATGCAAATTGGAGTGGGACTAGGGTTTCTGGGATAATGGTGTTGATGTGAGCCATGACCAGCCTTTCAAAGCACTTCATGGCTACAGACGTCAGTGCTACGGGTCGGTAGTCATTTAGGCAGGTTATCTTAGAGTCCTTGGGCACGGGGACTATGGTGGTCTGCTTGAAACATGTTGGTATTACAGACTCAGTCAGGGACATGTTGAAAATGTCAGTGAAGACACTTGCCAGTTGGTCAGCACATGCTCGGAGTACACGTCCTGGTAATCCGTCTGGCCCTGCGGCCTTGTGAATGTTGACCTGCTTAAAAGTCTTACTCACATATATATATGTTGAAGAGGGTGGGGCTCAAGCTGCATCCCTGTCTCACCCCCCAGCCCTGTGGAAATAAATCGGTGTGTTTTTATGCCAATTTTATAATGTCTTATGTTTTCAACCCAACACCGCTTCCCATCAATTTGTATAGCAGACCCTCCATGCTAAATTGAGTCAAAAGCTTTTTTGAAATTCAACAAAGCATGAGAAGACTTTGCCATTGTTTTGTTTTGTTTGTTTGTCAATAAGGGTGTGCAGAGTGAATACATGGTCTGTCGTACGGTAATTTGGTAAAAAGCCAATTGACATTTGCTCAGGATATTGTTTTCACTGAGAAAATGTACGAGTCTGCTGTATTTGTATTTATTTATTATGATCCCCATTAGCTTTTGCCAAGGCAGCAGCTACTCTTCCTGGGGTCCGGCAAAATGAAGGCAGTTATACAATTTTAAAAACATTACAATACATTCATAACAGATTTCACAACACACTAAGTGTGTGACCTCAGGCACCTACTCCACTACCACATATATACAACACAACATCCATATGTACGTGTGTGTATAGTGCGTATGTTATCGTGTGTGTGTATTTATGTGTCTGTGTCTATGTTTGTGTTGCTTCACAGGCCCCGCTGTTCCATAAGGTGTATTTTAATCTGTTTTTAAATAAATCTGAATCTACTGCTTGCATCAGTTACCTGATGTGGAACAGAGTTCCATATAGTCATGGCTCTATGTAGTACTGTGCGCCTCCCATAGTCTGTTCTGGACTTGGGGACTGTGAAGAGACCTCTGGTGGCGTGTCTTGTGGGGTATGCATGGGTGTCTGAGCTGTGTGCTAGGCGTTTAAACAGACAGCTCGGTGCTTTCAAAATGTCAATACCTCTCACAAATACAAGTAGTGATGAAGTCAATCTCTCCTCCACTTTGAGCCAGGAGAGATTGACATGCATATTATTAATGTTTGCTCTCTGGGTACATCCAAGGGCCAGCCGTGCTGCCCTGTTCTGAGCCAATTGCAATTTTCCAAAGTCCCTCTTTATGGCACCTGACCACACGACTGAACAGTAGTCCAGGTGCGACAAAACTAGGTAGAGCAGCGCTTTACTATGGACAGACTTCTCCCCATCTTAGCTACTGTTGTAGCAATATGTTTTGACCATGACAGTTTACAATCCAGGGTTACTCCAAGCAGTTTAGTCACCTCAACTTACTCAATTTCCACATTATTACAATATTTAGTTGAGGTTTAGGGTTTAGTGAATGATTTGTCCCAAATACAATGCTTTTAGTTTTTGAAATATTTAGGACTAACTTATTCCTTGCCACCCATTCTGAAACTAACTGCAGCTCTTTGTTAAGTGTTGCAGTCATTTCAGTCACTGTAGTAGCTGACGTGTATAGTGTTGAGTCATCTGCATATATAGACACACTGGCTTTACTCAAAGCCAGTTGCATGTCGTTTGTAAAGATTGAAAAAAGTAAGGGGCCTACACAGCTGCCCTGGGGAATTCCTGATTCTACTTGGATTATGTTGGAGAGGCTTCCATTAAAGAACACCCTCTGTGTTCTGTTAGACAGGTAACTCTTTATCCACAATATAGCAGGGGGTGTAAAGCCATAACGCATAAGTTTTACCAGCAGCAGACTATGATCGATAATGTCAAAAGCCACACTGAAGTCTAACAAAACAGCCCCCACAATCTTTTTATCATTAATTTATCTCAGCCAATCATCAGTCATTTGTGTAAGTGCTGTGCTGTGCTTGTTGAAAGACCTTCCCTATAAGCGTGCTGAAAGTATTTTTTCAATTTGTTTACTGAATTGAAAATATGACAAATAGGAGTGGAAATATCGTCCGCTATTATCCTCAGTAATTTTCCATCCAAGTTTTCAGACCCCGGTGGCTTGTAATCTTTTTACCTCTTCCACACTCACTTTACGGAATTCAAAATTACAATGCTTGTCTTCCATAATTTGGTCAGATATACTTGGATGTGTAGTGTCAGCGTTTGTTGCTGGCATATCATGCCTAGGTTTGCTAATCTTCCCAATGAAAAAAATCATTGAAGTAGTTGGCAATATCAGTCGGTTTTGTGATGAATGAGCCATCTGATTCAATGAGCTGAGTTTGCCTTTTTTCCCAAAATGTCATTGAAGGTGCTTCAAAGCTTTTTTACTATAATAATAATAAGCCATTTAGCAGACGCTTTTATCCAAAGCGACTTACAGTCATGCGTGCATACATTTTTTTTTGTGTATGGGTGGTCCCGGGGATCGAACCCACTACCTTGGCGTTACAAGCGCCGTGCTCTACCAGTTGAGCTACAGAGGACCACACTATCATTCTTTATGTCATTTATCTTTGTTTCATAGTGGAGTTTCTTCTTTTTATTCAGTTTAGTCACATGATTTCTCAATTTGCAGTACGTTTGCCAATCGGTTGTGCAGCCAGACCTATTTGCCATTCCTTTTGCCTCATCCCTCTCAACCATACAATTTTTCAATTCCTCATCAATCCACAGGGATTTAACAGTTTTTACAGTCATTTTCTATAATGGGTGCATGCTTATTAGTAACTGGGATAAGCAATTTCATAAATGTGTCAAGTGCAGCAAATATTCTTTACATCAACAACATAGGAATCACTACAAAACTTATTGTATGACCTCTTATACACTATATTAGGCCCAGCCTTTGGAACTTTGGTTTTCCTAGATATGGCTACGATATACTGTGATCACTACATCCGATGGATTTGGATACTGCTTTCAAGCACATTTCTGCAGCATTAGTAAAGATGTGATCAATACATGTGGATGATTTCATTCCTGTGCTGTTTGTAACTACCCTGGTAGGTTGACTGATAACCTGGACCAGGTTGGAGGCACTGGTTACAGTCTGAAGCTTTCTCTTGAGTGGGTAGCTTGATGAAAGCCAGACAATATTTAAATCACCCAGAAAATATACCTTTCTGTTGATATCACATACATTATCAAGCATTTCACACATGTTATCCAGATACTGACTGTTAGCACTTGGTGGTCTATAGCAGCTTCCCACCAGAATGGGCTTTATGTGAGGCAGATGAACCTGTAGCCATATTACTTCAACTGTATTTAACACTCTTTACCGCTCTGGTTCTAACCCACTCGGCCTCAGACATCACTGAGGAAAGGTATTTGAAAAAGAATCTCACTGAGTTCACGTCTTCTTTTACGTAACTATCAAATTGGCGTGTTTATTTGGGATGTTTTTCTTCATTTCTTGGTTTGTTTTCGACTAGCCTATTTCTGTAGAACACTTTGCTGTTGGGCTCCTAAAAGTCTTCTTACCTGAGTGAGTCCCTATTCCCTATAGAGGTCCTGGGCCTTGGTCAACATGAGTCTACTATACTGTATAGGGAATAGGGTTTCATTTGGGACACATTCAGTGAGTAGTACAGCAACCCTACCACCTGACCAGTAACCCTCCCAGCGATCTATTGACCTCTCCTGTCCCTGCCCCTCCCAGCGGACCTATTGACCTCTCCTGTCCCTGCCCCTACAGGTTTGAAAGATGAAGACCTCAAGATGGTGGCAGCAATGTTCAGTCATCAGCTTCCTGTTAGGGGTGTGGCTTCCTGCCTGGATCCTGGCCCAGACCACGCCCCCTCCCCAGGGCATCACCTCCCCCAAACCCCAAAAGGTCCGGCTGCAGTTTCGTCTGGTGGGGTACCCCCGGAAGCACAATGAGGGGCGCATCGAGGTCTTCTACAAGGGAGAGTGGGGGACCATCTGTGATGACGACTTCTCTCTGTCCAACGCCAACGTCCTCTGTCGCCAGCTAGGCTTCGTCTCCGCTACGGGGTGGACACATAGCGCCAAGTACGGCAAGGGCCTAGGTGAGAGACCTACTGTCTTAAAACAACATTCAAAAAGGACTAGGTGAGAGACCTACTGTCTTAAAACAACATTCAAAAAGGACTAGGTGAGAGATCTACTGCCTTAAAACAACATTCAAAAAGGACTAGGTGAGAGATCTACTGCCTTAAAACAACATTCATAAAGGACTAGGTGAGAGACCTACTGTCTTAAAACAACATTAAAAAAGGACTAGGTGAGAGATCTACTGTCTTAAAACAACATTAAAAAAGGACTAGGTGAGAGATCTACTGTCTTAAAACAACATTCATAAAGGACTAGGTGAGAGACCTACTGTCTTAAAACAACATGCATAAAGGACTAGGTGAGAGACCTACTGTCTTAAAACAACATTCATAAAGGACTAGGTGAGAGACCTACTGTCTTAAAACAACATTCATAAAGGACTAGGTGAGAGACCTACTGTCTTAAAACAACATGCATAAAGGACTAGGTGAGAGACCTACTGTCTTAAAACAACATTCATAAAGGACTAGGTGAGAGACCTACTGTCTTAAAACAACATTAAAAAAGGACTAGGTGAGAGACCTACTGTCTTAAAACAACATTCAAAAAGGACTAGGTGAGAGATCTACTGTCTTAAAACAACATGCATAAAGGCCTAGGTGAGAGACCTACTGTCTTAAAACAACATTCATAAAGGACTAGGTGAGAGACCTACTGTCTTAAAACAACATTCATAAAGGACTAGGTGAGAGACCTACTGTCTTAAAACAACATTCAAAAAGGACTAGGTGAGAGATCTACTGTCTTATAACAACATTCATAAAGGACTAGGTGAGAGACCTACTGTCTTAAAACAACATTCATAAAGGACTAGGTGAGAGACCTACTGTCTTAAAACAACATTAAAAAAGGACTAGGTGAGAGACCTACTGTCTTAAAACAACATTCATAAAGGACTAGGTGAGAGATCTACTGTCTTAAAACAACATTCATAAAGGCCTAGGTGAGAGATCTACTGTCTTAAAACAACATTCATAAAGGACTAGGTGAGAGACCTACTGTCTTAAAACAACATTCATAAAGGACTAGGTGAGAGATCTACTGTCTTATAACAACATTCATAAAGGACTAGGTGAGAGACCTACTGTCTTAAAACAACATTCATAAAGGACTAGGTGAGAGATCTACTGTCTTAAAACAACATGCATAAAGGCCTAGGTGAGAGATCTACTGTCTTAAAACAACATTCATAAAGGACTAGGTGAGAGACCTACTGTCTTAAAACAACATTCATAAAGGACTAGGTGAGAGATCTACTGTCTTATAACAACATTCATAAAGGACTAGGTGAGAGACCTACTGTCTTAAAACAACATTAAAAAAGGACTAGGTGAGAGACCTACTGTCTTAAAACAACATTCAAAAAGGACTAGGTGAGAGATCTACTGTCTTAAAACAACATTCATAAAGGACTAGGTGAGAGACCTACTGTCTTAAAACAACATTCATAAAGGACTAGGTGAGAGACCTACTGTCTTAAAACAACATTCATAAAGGACTAGGTGAGAGACCTACTGTCTTAAAACAACATTCAAAAAGGACTAGGTGAGAGATCTACTGTCTTATAACAACATTCATAAAGGACTAGGTGAGAGACCTACTGTCTTAAAACAACATTCATAAAGGACTAGGTGAGAGACCTACTGTCTTAAAACAACATTAAAAAAGGACTAGGTGAGAGACCTACTGTCTTAAAACAACATTCATAAAGGACTAGGTGAGAGACCTACTGTCTTAAAACAACATTAAAAAAGGACTAGGTGAGAGACCTACTGTCTTAAAACAACATTAAAAAAGGACTAGGTGAGAGATCTACTGTCTTAAAACAGCATTCATAAAGGACTAGGTGAGAGACCTACTGTCTTAAAACAACATTAAAAAAGGACTAGGTGAGAGATCTACTGTCTTATAACAACATTCATAAAGGCCTAGGTGAGAGACCTACTGTCTTAAAACAACATTAAAAAAGGACTAGGTGAGAGACCTACTGTCTTAAAACAACATTAAAAAAGGACTAGGTGAGAGATCTACTGTCTTAAAACAGCATTCATAAAGGACTAGGTGAGAGACCTACTGTCTTAAAACAACATTAAAAAAGGACTAGGTGAGAGACCTACTGTCTTAAAACAACATTAAAAAAGGACTAGGTGAGAGATCTACTGTCTTATAACAACATTAAAAAAGGCCTAGGTGAGAGATCTACTGTCTTAAAACAACATTCATAAAGGACTAGGTGAGAGACCTACTGTCTTAAAACAACATTAAAAAAGGACTAGGTGAGAGATCTACTGTCTTATAACAACATTCATAAAGGCCTAGGTGAGAGACCTACTGTCTTAAAACAACATTAAAAAAGGACTAGGTGAGAGATCTACTGTCTTATAACAACATTCATAAAGGACTAGGTGAGAGACCTACTGTCTTAAAACAACATTAAAAAAGGACTAGGTGAGAGACCTACTGTCTTATAACAACATTCAAAAAGGACTAGGTGAGAGATCTACTGTCTTAAAACAACATTAAAAAAGGACTAGGTGAGAGACCTACTGTCTTAAAACAACATTAAAAAAGGACTAGGTGAGAGACCTACTGTCTTAAAACAACATTAAAAAAGGACTAGGTGAGAGACCTACTGTCTTAAAACAACATTAAAAAAGGACTAGGTGAGAGATCTACTGTCTTAAAACAACATTCATAAAGGACTAGGTGAGAGACCTACTGTCTTAAAACAACATTCATAAAGGACTAGGTGAGAGACCTACTGTCTTAAAACAACATTAAAAAAGGACTAGGTGAGAGACCTACTGTCTTAAAAGGGCCTAGGTCAGTAATATAACTGGTATAAACTGTCATAGAGCAGTTAATATACATTTTTAACACCTTTCATACAGTGAGTATAAAGGATGGACACAGAGCGCAAAGTACGGCAAGGGCCTGTCTTAACCTGTCATAGAGCATTTATTACATACATAACACCATTCATAGAGATAAGGGCCTAGGTGATGAACTGTCATAGAGCATTTATTACATACATAACACCGTTCATAGAGATAAGGGCCTAGGTGATGAACTGTTATAGAGCATTTATTACATACATAACACTGTTCATAGAGATAAGGGCCTAGGTGATTATCTGTCTTAACCTGTCATAGAGAATTTATTACATACATAACACCGTTCATAGAGATAAGGGCCTAGGTGATGAACTGTCATAGAGCATTTATTACATATATAACACCGTTCATAGAGATAAGGGCCTAGGTGATGAACTGTCATAGAGCATTTATTACATACATAACACCATTCATAGAGATAAGGGCCTAGGTGATGAACTGTCATAGAGCATTTAATTTCATAAAATAAAAACCATTCATAGAATAAGGGGCCCAGGGGAGAATGTCATAGAAACATTTATTTCATACAAACACCGTTCATAGAGATTTAAGGGGCCCAGGTGTGAAATTTTAGAGGGATTTTTTTACATACTAACCTGTTCATAAGATAAGGGGCCCAGGGATTTTTCTTTCTTAAAAACCCGTCCTAGAGAATTTTTACATACCCCCAAACCATTTAAGAGGAAAGGGCCTAGGTTATGAACTGTCCTAAAAGCATTTATTCAAAAATTAACCCCCGTTCATAGAATAAAGGGCCCAGGGGTGAACTGTCCCTAGGGATTTATTAAAAAAAATAAAACCATTCATAGAGATTTAAAGGGGCCCAAAGGGGATGAACTGTCATAGAGCATTTAAATTTCTACATAACCCCCCTTCATTTAAAATAGGGCCTGGTGATGAACTGGGCATAGAGGATTTATTTCATACATAACACCATTCATAGAGATAAGGGGCCCGGGGGTGAAATTCTAAAACCCTTTATGAGCATTTTTTTACATATATAACAAATTCATAAAAATAAAAGGGGCCCATGTTATGAACTGTCTAGAACATTTATTACATACATAACACCCCTTTTTATAAGATAAGGGCCCCAGGTTTATGAACCCGTCCCTAAAAGCATTATTACCCTATATAACACCATTCATAGGTAAGGGCCTAGGTTTATGAACTTTTATAAAGCTTTTTTTACATACTTTCCCCCATTCATAGAGATAAAAGGGGCCCAGGTAAAAGAACCCTCTTAACCTTCATAGACATTTTATTACATACTAACAAACCCTTCATAAGTTGGGGCCCAGGTTTATGAACTGTCATAGAGCATTTATTACCCTAAAATAACACCGTTTTAAAAAGAGATAAGGGGCCCAGGTGATGAAATCTTAAAACCGGGCATGAGCATTATTACAATTAACACCATTCATAAAAACATAAGGGGCCCAGGTGGGTGAACTGTCATGGGGGCCTTTATTACATACATAAAAAAACCCCTTCAAGGAAAATAAGGGCCTAGGTTTATGAACTGTCATAAGGCCCTTTATTTTAAAACATAAACCATTCCCTAGAGATAAGGGGGCCAGGTGTGAACTGTTTTTAAAAACCCGTATAAAAAGCCTTTTTTACATAAAAATTTAAAAACCATTCATAAGATAAGGGCCTAGGGGATGAACCCGTTAAGAGCTTTATTACATACATAAAACCCCTTTATAGAGATAAAAAGGGGCCCAGTGATTAAAATGTCTAGAGCAATTTTTTTACTTTTATAAAAACCGTTCATAAGATAAGGGCCTAGGTTTATGAAAATGTCCCCTAGAGCTTTTTACCTACATAACACCATTCATAGAGAAAGGGCCTAGGTGAGAAATGGTTTCCAGGCATTTATTACATAAAAAACACCATTCTAGAATAAGGGCCTATTTATTAACTGTCATAGAGCATTTATTCAGAATAAAAAACCCCTTCATAGAGATAAAAGGCCTAGGGATTAACTTCATAGAGCATTTAAATTCAATACATAACACCATTCATTAAAATAAGGGCCTTGTGATGAACAGCCCTTAAACCTGCATAGAGCTTTTTCCAAAAATATAAAAAACCAATTTATAACCTAAGGGGTATGTGATTAATGTATAGACATTTTTACATACCTAAAACCGTTCCCAAAAAGATAAAAGGGGCCCAGGGGTGAAATTTTCCCTAGAGCATTTTTACTATATAACACCTTCATACAGATAAGGGGCCCAGGTGATTTAAATGTTATAGGCATTTAAATTTCATACATAACACCATTTATTAGAGATAAGGGCCTAGGGGTGAACTGTCATAGAGCAAATTTTTTCCTACATAACACCATTCTAGAGATAAGGGGCCCAGGGTGAAAAGAACTGTCATAGACCAAATTTTTTCCTACATCCCATTCATAGAATTTAAAGGGGCCCAGGTTGAACTGTCTAGACATTTTTTACTACATAAAAACCATTTATAAAAGATAAGGGGCCCGGGGATGAAAATGCCCCAACCCCTTTTATAAGCATTTTTTTACATTATACAAACCCTTCTAATAGACCCCAAAAGGGCCCAGGGGATGAAATGTCAAAAGAGCCTTTTTTTTAAAATATAAAAACAACCCTTTAAGAGAAAGGGCCTAGGGGATTAAATGTTATAAAAGCATTTATTACATAATAACACTGTTCAAAGAGATAAGGCCTAGGGGATTATCTATCTTAAAAACCCGTCCCTAGAGCATTTTTTACATACATAAAAAAACCTTCATTAAAAATTAAAGGGGCCCAGGTGATTAACTTTTCCCTAGACATTTTTTAAAAATACATAAACCCGTTCTTTAAAAATTTAAAGGGGGTAGGGGATGAACCCTTTTAAGGAAACCCTTTATTTCATACATAAAAAAACCCATTCATAAGATAAAGGGGCCCAGGTGATTTCTTCTTTTAAAACCCGTCATAGAGAATTTATTACATACATAAAACCCCCCTTTATGGGGATAAGGGCCTAGGTTTATGAAATGCCCAGAGCCTTTTATTAAAAATAAAAAAACACCGTTCATAGAGAAAAAAGGGCCTAGGTTATTAACATCATAGAGCATTTATTACCTTTCATAACACCATTCATAGGGGAAAAAAAGGCCCAGGGGATGAAATGTCATAGAGCATTTATTTCAAAAAAACCCCTTCAAAAGAGAAAAAGGGCCCCAGGGGGGATGAACGGGCTTAACCTTCAAGAGCATTTTAAAATTTATTATAAACAAACCCTTCATAATCAAAGGGAAGGGGCCCATGTGATGAAATGTCATAGAGCATTTTTTACTACATAAAACCATTCATAGAATTAAAGGGGCCCAGGTGATGAAAAACATAGAGCATTTAATTTCTATATAACACCATTCATAGAGATAAGGGGGGAGGGGTTTTGAACTGGTTTTTAGGGGCATTTTTTTTACCTCCCTAACACCTTCAATTTGAGATAAGGGCTAGGTGATGAACATTTTTAAAACCCGTCATAAAACATTTATTAAAAAACTAAAACCCCCTTTATGAGATAAGGGGGGCCCAGGGGATGAACCCCCTAAAAAGGGATTTATTCCATTAAAAAAAACCCCTTTAAAAGAGATAATGGGCCCAGGGGATGAAAAGTTTTTAAACCCGTTTATGGGCATTTTATTCATATATAAAAACCCATTCTAACATAAGGGCCCAGGGGATGAACTGTCATAGAGCTTTATTACTACATAAAAAACACCCTTTTGAGATAAGGGCCTAGGGGATGAAAATGTCTTAAACCTGTCATAGAGCTTTTTTACATATATAAAAAAAACCATTTATAGAGGGTAAAAAGGGGCCCAGGTTTATGAAATGTTATAAAAGCATTTAAATTTCATACTAAAAAAACCCTTCATAAGATAAGGGGGCCCAGGTGATGGAAACAGTTTTTTAAAAAAGTCATAGAGCATTTATTACAATACATAACAAATAAAAGGGGCCAAAAAAACAAACCATTAATGCAAAAGATAAAGGGGCCCAGGGATCCTGTCTAGAGATTTTTTTACAAAAATTTAAAACCCCCATAAAACCCAAAATCTTCTAAGGGTTTTAATCATAAAACAAAAGATAAGGGGCCCAATTTTGAAAATGTCATAAAAGCTTTTTTTTTTTATACATAACACCATTCAAAGATGGGGCCCGGTATGAACTGTCCATAGAGCATTTTTTACTACATAAAACCATTTATAGAGTAAGGGTAAGGGCCTTTTTGTTTAAACCCGTCATAGAGGCATTTAATTACATAATAACACCTTCAAAAGAAAAGGGGCCCAGGGGATGAACCCGTCATAGAACATTTATTAAATACCTAACCCCTTCAAGAGATAAGGGCCCCAGGTGATAACTGTCAAAATAAGCATTTTTACATATATAAAAACCATTTTATAAGATAAGGGCCTAGGGGATTAACCGGTTATAGAGCTTTATTTCTACAACACCTTCTAGAGATAAAGGGGCCCAGGGGATGGAACCCGTCATAGAGCATTTAAATTTCTTAAAAATAACCCCATTTTTATAAATAAAGGGGGGCCCAGGTTATGAACTGTTTTAGAGCATTTTTTTTACATAATTTAAAAACCTTCAAAAGATTTTGGGCCTGGGATGAACAGTCTTAAAAATGTCATGAAAACAAAAAGTTTTTTTTAAAAATAATAACACCATTCAAGAAAAAGGGGGCCTGGGTGAAAATGCATAGGCATTTATTAAAAAATAACACCGTTCATAGAGATAAAAAGGGCCCGGTTTTATGAACGCATAAAACTTTAAAAAACAAAACCTTCATAGAAAGGGGATCTTTTAATTTACAAATTTTTTACAATTCAAATTCAAAGAATAAGGGGCCTAGGTGAGAAAATTTTTAAAAACCTTTAATTTCATACCAAAACAACCAATTCATAGAGATAAGGGCCCCCGGTGATGAACGGCTTAAATTTTGAGCATTTTTACAATCCAATAAACCCCCTATAACCCAAAAAACAAATTTCATAATAACCCCTTAAGGAAGGGGCCCAGGGAAAAGAACCCTTTTTTAGAGCATTTATTTTTCATAATAAACACCCTTTTATAAGAAAAGGTAAGGGGAAAAAGATTTTCAAAAAAACAAAAGGGAAAGGGGCCTTTGGTTGAATTTTTCCCGTTAAAAGACATTTTTTACTAATAAACCATTCATAAATAAGGGCCTAGGTGATGAACGGGCTTTTAAGCCAATTTTTTACATACAAACCCCCATTCAAAAAAGAGATAAGGGCCTAGGTTTATTAACTGTCCTTTAACCTTTTTCCCTGCCCTTTTTTAAAAAAAACACCATTATAGAGATAAGGGCCTAAAGGGGATGAACTGTTATAGAGCATTTATTTACAAAAACAAAACACCCTTCATAGAGATAAGGGGCCAGGTTTAAATTTTAAACCCGTCATAGACATTTATTAATACATCCACCATTCATAAGATAAAAAAGGGCCCATGTGAATGAACCCGTAAAAGAGCATTTATTAATTTAACACCTTCATAGAAAGATAAGGCCTGGTATGAACTGTATAGAGCTTTATTACTACATCCCCCTTCATGAATAGGGCCCTAGGGGAGAACTGTTCTTTTAAAACCTTTAAACCTTTTTTGGCATAGAGCATTTATTTTCATAAATAAACCCCATTCAATAGAAAGGGCCTAGGTGATGGAAATGTTATAGAGCATTTAAATTTCATACAAAAACAAAAACCCTTCATAAAAAAGATAAGGGCCTAGGTTATTTAACGCTTAACCCTTTTAGAGCATTTATTACATAATAACACCATTCATAGGAAAAGGGCCTAGTGAAAGAACTTTCCCCGGGGCATTTATTAATAATAAAAACCGTTCAAAAGAGATAAAGGGCCTAGGGGAAAGAACCCCGTCATAAAAGCTTTTTTACATAATAAAACCATTTAAAGATAAGGCCTAGGGGATGAACTGTTAAGAGCATTTTTTTAAAATACATAAAACCCAATTCAAAAGAGATAAGGGGGCCTTTTTGGTTTTAACCCGTCATAGAGCATTTATTAAAAATAAAACAAAAAAACCAAAACCCTAAACAATTTCAAAAACCCTTCATAAGATAAAAGGGGCCCAGGGTTTTGGGGGGGAAAAATTCTTTAAAGCATTTATTTATTTCAAAAAAACCCATTCATAGAATAAGGGCCTTTTTGTTTTTCCCGTCAAGGGGCATTTATTACATAATTTAAAACCTTCATAAATAAGGGCCAGGGGATGAAAATGTCCCTTTGAGCATTTATTCCCTCCCAACCCCCTTTATAGAGTAAGGGCCTAGGTGGAATGAAAATGTCCTAAAAGGGATTTTTTACATTTTAAACACCATTCATAAATAAAGGGGCCCAGGTTTATGAACTGTTATAGAGGGATTTATTAAAAACAAACACCTTCATAAATAAGGGCCTAGGGGATTTAACAGTCTTAACCTTCAAAGCATTTATTTTCATACAAAAAACCCATTCATAAGATAAGGGGGCCCAGGTGATGAACTGTCCCTAGACATTTATTCATCCCAAAACCTTCATTTGAGATAAGGGGGTAGGTGATGAAACTTTCATAAGCATTTTTACATAATTTAAAAACCATTCCAAAAGAATAAGGGCCTGGGATTTTTAAATTCAAACACTTTTTTACCTACCTAACACCTTCCTAGAGATAGGGGCCCGGTGATAAAATGGCAATTTTTGAGCATTTATTAATAATTACACCATTCAAGAATAAAAAGGGCCCAGGTTATGAACTGGTCCCTAGAAACATTTATTACATATAAAAACCTTCCAGAGAATAAGGGCCTAGGTGAAAAACTGTTTAAGCTTTATTTCCTACATAACCCCCATTCTAAGTAAGGGGGCCCCCGGGGATGACGTCTTAACCTTTTCCTAAGCATTTTTTTACTAAAACACCATTTCATAGAGATAAAGGGGCCAGGGATGAACTGTATAGAGCATTTTTTTACATACTTAAAAACCCCCTTTATAGAGATAAGGGCCCCAGGGGATGAACTCAATTTTGAGCATTTATTTCATAATAAAAACCATTCCTAGGATAAGGGCCTTGTGATTAACTTTTTGAGCTTTATTACATCCCTAACAACCCTTCATAAGGGTAAGGGGGCCTTTGGTGATGAACCTTTTAACCCGTTAGACATTTTTACATAAAATAACCCCTTCCTTTGAATAAAAAGGGGCCCAGGGGATGAACTGTCTTAAAGCAAAATTTTTTACATACATAACACCTTCATAAAGTAAGGGCCTAGGTTTTGGGAAATGTTAGAGCCAATTTTAAATTAAAATACCTAACACCCTTCATAGAGATAAGGGGCCCCAGGTGATGAACTGTCCCTTTAAACCCTTTATAAGCTTTATTACATATAAAAACACCATTTTATAGAAAAAGGGGGTAGGGTTTATGAACCCGTTATAAGCATTTATTACATTTCCTAACACCTTTTATAGAGATAAGGGGGCCCAGGTAAATTTTAAATTCATAGACATTTAATTTTTCATAATAAACCATTCATGAGATAAGGGCCTAGGGTGAATTTTTCCCGTTAGAAGGGAATTTATTACTAATAACAATTTATAGAGTAAGGCCTAGGTTTTAAATTTTTCCCGTTATAGAGCATTTTTTTACATAAAACCCCCGTTCTAAGATAAGGGCCTAGGTGAAAAACTGTTTTTAAAAAAGCTTTTTTTAAAATAATAACCCCCATTCATAAAATAAGGGGGCCCAGGTGAGGAAATGTTAAGAGCTTTATTACATTCCCTAAACCATTTATAAGGGTAAAAGGGGCCAGGTTTGAACGTCTTAACCTTCAAGAGCATTTAAATTCATATATAACAAACCCTTCCCCAAACTAAGGGCCTAGGGGATGAACTTTTTATAGAGCATTTATTACATACATAAAAACCTTCATAGAGATAAGGGGCCCAGGGAAATTTTTCCCTTTTATAAGCTTTATTACTATTAACACCATTCAAAAAGAATAGGCCTAGGGTGGAATTAACCCGTCATAGAGCCTTTTTTACATAATAACAAACCCAAGAGATAAGGGGCCCAGGTTAGAATTTTTTAAAACATTTATTACAACATAACACCCTTCATAGAGTAAGGGCCTAGGGATGAACTGTTTTTATAGAGCCCTTTATTAAAATATATAAAACCATTCAAGAGATAAAGGGGCCCAGGGGGATGAACTTTTATAAGCATTTTTTAATCATAAAACCATTCAAGAGATAAGGGGCCCAGGTGATGAAAAAGTCCCCAAAAAAGTCCAAAGAGCAATTTTTTACATAATAACACCATTCATAGAGTAAGGGGGCCCATTTATGAAAAGGGATAGAGCATTTATTTAAAATACAATAACACAATTATAGGAAATAAAGGGGCCTAAAAATTAAAAATTCTTAAAAAACCCAAAGGGGGGGTTTTTATTAATTTAAAAAACCAATTAATAGGGAAAAAGGGGGAGGAAAAAGGGGAAAAAATTTTCAAAAAACCAAAAAAAATAATACCACCTTCCTAGAGATAAGGGGCCCAGGTTTATGACTTTTATAGAACATTTATTTCATACATAAAACCATTCATAAGATAAAGGCCCCAGGGATTACTGGCCAATTAAAAGGGATTTTTACATAATAACACCCCTTCATGAGATAAAGGGCCTAGGTGAATGGAAAAATTTATAAGCATTTATTACATAATAACCCTTCAAAAAGAATTTAAAGGGGCCCAGGTAAAATTTAACCGGGCATAGAGCATTTTTTACATACATAAAACCTTCCCTAGGATAAGGGGCCCAGGTGATGAACTGTCCCTAGAGCATTTTTTTCATACATAACACCATTCATAGAGAAAGGCCTAGGTGATGAAAGGTCATAGAGCATTTATCATATAACCCCATTCATAGAGAAAGGGCCTAAGGGAAACTGTTATAGAGCATTTTTTACAACTAACACCATTCATAGAGATAAGGGCCTGGTGATGAAAAAAGTCCCTTAAACCCGTAAAAAGCCTTTTTTTCCTATATAAAACCATTCATAAATAAAGGGCCCCAGGTGATGAACGTTATAGAGCATTTTTTTTCATACATACACCTTCATTTGAGATAAGGGGGCCAGGTGTGAACTTCAAAAGAGCAAATTTTTTTTACATAATAAAAACCCCTTAAAGAAAAAGGGCCTAGGGGAAAGAACTTTCTTAACCTTCTAGAGCCCTTAAAAATTAAATAAATATCCAACCCAATTTCCCATTAAGAATTTAAAGGGGCCCAGGTGTTAAAATGTTATAGAGCATTTTTTACTACAACACCATTCATAGAGATAAGGGCCTAGGGGTGAACTTTTTTTAACCTTCATAGAGCATTTATTAATAATTTAAAACCATTCATAACTAAGGGGCCCAGGTGATTTAAAATGTTATAGACTTTATTAAAAATACATAAATCATTCATAGAGATAAGGGGGCCCAGGTGATGAAACTTTTTCCCAAAAAGCTTTTTTATAATAAAAAAACCTTCATGAGATAAGGGCCTAGGGGATGAACTGTCTTTAACCGGGCCCTAGAGCTTTTAAATTTCAAAATAACACCATTCATAGAGATAAGGGCCTAGGTTATGAACTGTTATGACAATTTTTTTACATACTAACCCTTCCAAAAATAAGGGCCGGGGTGAACGCATAGACATTTATTTCATAATAACCCATTCATAGAATAAAAACCTAGGTGATGAACCCTTTTATAGAGCGTTTTACATAATAACACCCTTCAAAAGAAAAAGGGCAGGGGATAACGTCTTAAGAAAAACATTTTATTACATAATAACACCTTCTAAAAGATAAAAGGGGGTGGTGATGAAAAGGGATAGAGCAAAATTTTTTCCCTACATAACATTTTATTTGAGAATAAGGGCCCCAGGTGAGGGAAAAGTCTTAACCTGTCATAGAGCTTTTTACATATACACCCTTCATAGAGATAAGGGCCCATTGATGAACTGTTTTATAAAAGGCTTTTTTTACATACATAAAACCTTCATAAGAAAAAGGGGCCCAGGGGATGAACTGTTATAAGCCTTTATTTTCAATATAAACCCCTTCATAGAATAAGGGCCTAGGTGATGGAACCCGTTAAGAGCATTTTTTTACATACATAAAAACCTTCATAGGATAAAAGGGGGCCCAGGTGAAAGAAAAGTTTTTTTAGAGCATTTAAATTTAAAAATAACACCCTTCAAAAAAAAAAATAAGGGCCTAGGTGAGAAATGTTTTAAAAAACTTTTTTACCTACATAAACCATTTATAAGATAAGGGCCTGGTAAAAGTTTTTAACCGTCATAAAAGCATTTATTTACATAAAAACCCAGCATAAGAAAGGGCCGGGGGATGAACTGTTTAAGTTAGCTTTTTTTACATACCGAACACCTTCATAAAGATAAAAGGGGCCAGGGGATGAACTGTTTAAATTATAAACTTTTTTTTACATCATAACACCAAATTTATAGAGTAAAGGGCCCAGGTTTATGAACTTTTTAAAACCCGTCTAATGAGCCTTTTTTTACATCATAACACCTTCAAAAGAATAAAGGGGGTAGGGTTTTAAAAACCCCTTATAGAGCATTTATTACCAAAACCCCCTTCATAGAGAATTTAAGGGGCCCAGGGGAAAAACGGGATAGGCCTTTTTTTCATAATAAAAACCATTCATAAAAAGATAAGGGCCTAGGTGATGAACTGTCTTAAAACCCGTCATAGACTTTTTTTACAACATAAAACCCCTTTATAGAGAAAGGGCCTAGGTGATTTAACTTTATAAGCATTTTTCATACATAACCCCCCTTCATAGAGGGTAAGGGGCCCAGGTGATGAACTGTCCCTTTAAAAATTTTATAAACGTTTATTACATAATTTAAAACCCTTCCTAGAGATAAGGGCCCCGGTGATTAACTGGTTTCCTTAAAGCTTTTTTTACTACCCAACAAACCTTTTTAAGAAAAAGGGGCCAGGTGATGAACTTTTTTAACCCCCTTTAACCTTTTTTAAAAATTAACCACCTTCATTTGAATAAGGGCCCAGGTGTGAATGTTAAAAGAGCATTTTTAAAATACATAAAAACCCTTCTAAATAAGGGGGCCCAGGGGAATTCCTTCCTGTCATAGAGCTTTTATTACTTTCCTAACACCATTCTAGAGATAAAAGGGGCCTAGGGATAAATTTATAGGGATTTTTTTACAAAAACATAACAACCCTTCCCAAGGGTAAGGGCCCCAGGGGATGAACTGTCTTAACCCGTCATAAGCATTTTTTAATAATAACACCTTCATAAGTAAGGGGCCCAGGGGTGAACTGTCCCTAGAGCATTTAAATTTAAAAACAACCCCCTTTTTAGAGATAAAGGGGCCCAGGTGATTTTTAACCCGTCATAGGCATTTTTTTAAAATATTAAAACCCCTTCATAGAGATAAGGGGGCCTTTTGGGGTGAACTTTTATAGAGCATTTATTCCCTACATAAAACCCTTCCCAAATAAGGGCCTGGGGATAATTTTCCCGTATAGAGCATTTATTCTTTCATAACCCCCATTATGAGATAAGGCCCATGGGGGAACTGTTTAGGCATTTTTCATACAAAAACCCCCTTCATGAGATTTAAAGGGGCCCAGGGGATGAAATGTCCTTTAAACCCGTCATAAAAGCATTTTTTCAACAAAACACCATTCATTTGAGATAAGGGCCTAGGTTTAGGGAAATGTTTAAGACATTTTTTAATACATAACACCTTCATTAAAATAAGGGCCTAGGGGGATGAACTGTCTAACCTGTCCTAGAGCTTTTTTTACATAATAAAACCATTCCTAGAGATAAGGGGCCCTTTGGTGATGAACTGTTATAGAGCAAATTTTTTACATACCAACAAACCGTTTATAAAATTAAGGGGGCCCGGTGATGAAGGGTTTTATAGAGCATTTTTTACATAAAATAACACCATTCATTATAGATAAGGGGCCCAGGGGATGAAAATGTTTATAGAGCATTTATTACATACATAACCCCCATTATTTGAGAAAGGGGCCCAGGTTTTAATGAACGGGCTAGAGCATTTAATTTTCATACAAAAAAAACCATTCATAAGATAGGGCCTTTTTCTTTAACGTTCTAATTCCATTTTTCCTCTTTAAAACCCCGGGCCCCCCAAATAAAGGGGGGTTGATTATTGGGTCTTTAACCGTTGGGCCTTTAATTCATTTCTTTTAAAACCCATTTGGTCCCTTTGGGGATGCCCCTTTTTGGCCCTTTTCTTTCTCCCGTTTCCTTGAAAGGGGCCCCTAGGTGGTTCCCCGTAAACCCTTTTTCCTCTTAAAATTCATTGGGGGTTTGTAACCCAGGGTTTTGGGAACCTTGGGCCTTGAGCTATTTCCTCTTTAAAACCCCTTTCCTTGGTAAGGGGCCAGGTTTGGGCCCCTTTAGCCCTTTTTTCTTTTCCCTTTCCCCAATCCAGTTGGCCTTTACTTCATTGGTTTTTCCCCTGTAAAATCAGTTTGGGTTTCCCCGGGAAACCCAGTTGGGCCTCTGTACTCAGTTGGTCTCTTACTCAGTTTTGGGCCTCTGGAAATCAGTTGGCCTCCTTTTTCTCATTTGGTCCCCCGTAACTCAGTTTTTTCCCCTGTAGCTCATTTGGGGCCTCTGAAAATCCCGTTTTTTTCCCCCCCTTTCTCAGTTGGTCCCCCTGTCTCAGTTGGGGCCTCTTTAACTCAGTTGGTCCTCTGTAACTCAGTTGGGCCTTCTGTACTCGTTGGTCCTCTGTAACTCAGTTGGTCCTCTGTAACTCAGTTGGTCTTCTGTAACTCAGTTGGTCCTCTGTAACTCAGTTGGTCCTCTGTAACCCTTCCCGTTGGTCCTCTGGGCTCATTTGGGCCTCTGTAACTAGTTGGTCCTCTGTAAATCCGTTTTGGCCTTTTTTAACTCAGTTGGTCCCCTTTTAACTCAATTTTTGGCCCCTTAACTCATTTTTCCCTGTAACTCATTTTTTTCCCCTTTAAATCGTTTGGGCCCTGTCCAGTTGGTCCTTTTGTAACTCCGTTGGGGCCTCTGTAAAAACATTTTGGGCCCCCCCTGTAACTCTTTGGTCCCCTGTAAAAATCAGTTGGTCCTTTTTGTAACTCATTGGTCCTTTTGTACCAGTTGGCCTCTGTAACCAAATTTGGGCCCCCTGTAACTCCCTTTGGTCCTTTTGTAAAATATTGGTCCTCTTTTAAAAACATTTTGGGCCTCTGTAATCTTTGGGCCTTCCTTTTAAACCCAGTTGGGCCCCTGTAACTCATTTGGGTTTCCCGTAAATCATTGGGCCCCTTAACTCAGTTTTTTGGGCCTTTTTTGTAATCAGTTTTGGCCTCTGTAAATCAGTTTGGGCTTCGTAACCATTTTGGGCCCCCTGGAGCTTTAGTTGGTCTTTTGTTTAAATCAGTTGGTCCCCCTGTACTCATTTTGGGCCCCCTTTTAACTCGTTTGGCCTTTTTGTAAATCAGTTGTCCTTTTGTAACTCCGGGTTTGGGCCTCTGTAACTCATTTGTTTTCTGTAACTCATTGGGCTTTTGTAACTCAAGGTTTTTTGGGCTTCTGTAACTCAGTTGGTCCCCCTGTAACTCAAATTTTTTCCCCTGTAAATCCTTGGGCCCTTAACTCAGTTGGTCCTCTGTACCCGTTTGGGCCCCCTGTAACTGCGTTTTCCTCTGTAATCATTGGCCCGGAATGGGGTTTTTTTTTGGCCCCCTGAAAAAGTTGGCCTGTAATCGTTTTTGGTCCTCTGAAAACCCGTTTTGGTTTTCCTTTAAATATTTTTCTGTTTTTATTTTTTAATTTTTTCTGTTTTTCCCCTTTATTTCAGTTTTTTTTAATATTTCCTCCTTTAAATATTCTCTGTTTTATAATATTATTATATAATATGTTCTGTTTATATATTATATTCAGTTTAAATATTATTATATATTATATTCAGTTTAAATATTATTATATATTATGTTCTGTTTATATATTAATATACGGTGGGGAGAACAAGTATTTGCTACACTGCCAAGTTTGCCGGGTTTCCTCACTTACACACAAGCATGTTAGAGGGTCTGTAATTTTTATCATAGGTACACTTCACACGGTGAGGACGGAATCTAAAAACCTTCTACATGCCTTTGTAAGTAGGAAAACCTGCAAAATCGGCAGTGTATCAAATACTTGTTCTCCCCACTGTATATTATGTTGTGTCAGAGCATGGCGTCATGTTAAAGACGTTTCCTGTTGAAAAGTGATATCCCAGGTTTAAATACAGTAAAGTACACACACTAAAGGGTCAAACATATGTTTTAGACAACTGCAAACTTGAAGGAGCAGGGCATTCAAGGTAATGGTCTGATGGAAATTGGAGACATCGTCAGCCCCTCCCCCGTTGCTGGAGGAGCAATAGAGAATGCAAACTTTGGGGCGGCAGGTAGCTTAGTGGTTAAGAGCATTGTGCCAGTAACCGAAAGGTCGCTGGTTCTAATCCCCGAGCCGACTAGGTGAAAAATCTGTTGATGTGCCCTTAATCAAGGCACTTAACCCTAATTGCTCCTGTAAGTCGCTCTGGATAAGAGCGTCTGCTAAATGACGTAAATGTAAAGGAGCAGGGCATTCAAGGTGTTGGTCTGATGGAAATTGGAGACATCGTCAGCCCCTCCCCCCTTGCTGGAGGAGCAATAGAGAATTAAAGAGGAAGCCCCTCCCCCCCTTGTGCCACGTCATGAGGATACCTGGACCACCTGTTGAGATGTACCTTTTGTTAAGTAAAGCAGGTGTTAAATGAGGTGAAAAGGAGAGTGGAGCGTCACTTTAAACGTTGTTACTACCAGTGACTGTCTGTCCATTCTCTCTGCAGGGAAGATCTGGCTGGATAATGTGCAGTGTAACGGAGGGGAGAAGAGCATTGAGCTGTGTAAGTCTCGAGGCTGGGGCAACAGTGACTGCACACACGATGAGGACGCTGGAGTCATCTGCAAGGACGAGAGGCTTCCTGGTTTTGTCGACTCCAACATCATCGACGTAAGGCCCTAACATTTTATTGTCATGCACAGTAGGCGGGGCTGGGGTCAAATTCTATTTAAATTCCAGTCAATTCAGGAAGTACATTGACATTCTAATTCTATTCAATGCTTTTGAATGAGGAACATTTAGAATTGGAATTGCCTTATCCATGGGTCTCTGGTCAAAAGTAGTGCACTATATAGGGATTAGGATGCTATTTGGGACACTGCCAGTGACTAGGCCTACTGATTAATATAACACTGTGTTTTTGGGACCCTGCCAGTGACTAGGCCTACTGATTAATATAACACTGTGTTTTTGGGACCCTGCCAGTGACTAGGCCTACTGATTAATAGAACACTGTGTTTTTGGGACCCTGCCAGTGACTAGGCCTACTGATTAATATAACACTGTGTTTTTGGGACCTTGCCAGTGACTAGGCCTACTGATTAATAGAACACTGTGTTTTTGGGACCCTGCCAGTGACTAGGCCTACTGATTAATAGAACACTGTGTTTTTGGTGGATTAATATGAGTCTATAAGTAGACTGATATGGTAAACATTTAACACCCAAGCACAGCGCCACATGTAACTGGGAGAGACATAAAGACGTCTATGGTAAACAGAGACATACAGTGGGGAAAAAAAGTATTTAGTCAGCCACCAATTGTGCAAGATCTCCCACTTAAAAAGACGAGAGGGGCCTGTAATTTTCATCATAGGTACACGTCAACTATGGCAGACAAAATCAGGAAAAAAAATCCAGAAAATCACATTGTAGGATTTTTAATGAATTTATTTGCAAATTATGGTGGAAAATAAGTATTTGGTCAATAACAAAAGTTTCTCAATACTTTGTTATATACCCTTTGTTGGCAATGACACAGGTCAAACGTTTTCTGTAAGTCTTCACAAGGTTTTCACACACTGTTGCTGGTATTTTGGCCCATTCCTCCATGCAGATCTCCTCTAGAGCAGTGATGTTTTGGGGCTGTGGCTGGGCAACACTGACTTTCAACTCCCTCCAAAGATTTTCTATGGGGTTGAGATCTGGAGACTGGCTAGGCCACTCCAGGACCTTGAAATGCTTCTTACGAAGCCACTCCTTCGTTGCCCGGGCGGTGTGTTTGGGATCATTGTCATGCTGAAAGACCCAGCCACATTTCATCTTCAATGCCCTTGCTGATGGAAGGAGGTTTTCACTCAAAATCTCACGATACATGGCCCCATTCATTATTTTCTTTACACGGATCAGTCGTCCTGGTCCCTTTGCAGAAAAACAGCCCCAAAGCATGATGTTTCCACTCCCATGCTTCACAGTAGGTATGGTGTTCTTTGGATGCAACTCAGCATTCTTTGTCCTCCAAACACGACGAGTTGAGTTTTTACCAAAAAGTTCTATTTTGGTTTCATCTGACCATATGACATTCTCCCAATCCTCTTCTGGATCATCCAAATTCACTCTAGCAAACTTCAGACGGGCCTGGACATGTACTGGCTTAAGCAGGGGGACACGTCTAGCACTGCAGGATTTGAGTCCCTGGTGGCGTAGTGTGTTACTGATGGTAGGCTTTGTTACTTTGGTCCCAGCTCTCTGCAGGTCATTCACTAGGTCTCCCGTGTGGTTCTGGGATTTTTGCTCACTGTTCTTGTGATCATTTTGACCCCACGGGGTGAGATCTTGCGTGGAGCCCCAGATCGAGGGAGATTATCAGTGGTCTTGTATGTCTTCCATTTCCTAATAATTGCTCCCACAGTTGATTTCTTCAAACCAAGCTGCTTACCTATTGCAGATTCAGTCTTCCCAGCCTGGTGCAGGTCTACAATTTTGTTTCTGGTGTCCTTTGACAGCTCTTTGGTCTTGGCCATAGTGGAGTTTGGAGTGTGACTGTTTGAGGTTGTGAACAGGTGTCTTTTATACTGATAACAAGTTCAAACAGTTGCCATTAATACAGGTAACGAGTTGAGGACAGAGGAGCCTCTTAAAGAAGAAGTTACATATCTGTGAGGGCCAGAAATCTTGCTTGTTTGTAGGTGACCAAATACTTATTTTCCACCATAATTTGCAAAGAAATTCATAAAAAATCCTACAATGTAATTTTCTGGAATTTTTTTTCTCAATTTGTCTGTCATAGTTGACGTGTACCTATGATGAATATTACAGGCCTCTCTCATCTTTTTAGGTGGGAGAACTTGCACAATTGGTGGCTGACTAAATACTTTTTTCCCCACTGTACTGACAGACATACAGTGAGGGAAAAAAGTATTTGATCCGCTGTTGATTTTGTACGTTTGCCCACTGACAAAGACATGATCAGTCTATAATTTTAATGGTAGGTTTATTTGAACAGTGAGAGACAGAATAACAACAAAATAATCCAGAAAAACGCATGCCAAAAATGTTATAAATTGATTTGCATTTTAATGAGGGAAATAAGTATTTGACCCCTCTGCAAAACATGATTTAGTACTTGGTGGCAAAACCCTTGTTAGACGTTTCTTGTAGTTGGCCACCAGGTTTGCACACATCTCAGGAGGGATTTTGTTCCACTCCTCTTTGCAGATCTTCTCCAAGTCATTAAGGTTTCGAGCCTGACGTTTGGCAACTCGAACCTTCAGCTCCCTCCACAGATGTTCTATGGGATTAAGGTCTGGAGACTTTTTTCTGGATTTTGTTGTTGTTATTCTGTTTCTCACTGTTCAAATAAACCTACCATTAAAATTATAGACTGATCATTTCTTTGTCAGTGGGCAAACGTACAAAATCAGCAGGGGATCAAATACTTTTTTCCCCTCACTGTAACACTAGCCTCGTTGGACCATACTGATCTCGAGAGATCCCATTCTGTTCCTCTAATGAAACGAGTCAGGATGGTGGATCAGACTAACACAACTGTCTTATTGCTCTGAGGTGTCACAGCAGGTCACAGGCCTCACCCCAGCACTCTGTATGACCCCTGACCCCTCGTTACAGGTGCAGGTGGATGAGAACAAGGTGGAGAAGGTGCGTCTGCGTCCGGTGGTGTTCACCAAGAAGATGCCCGTCACCGAGGGCGTTGTGGAGATTAAGTACAAGGACGGCTGGGCCCAGATCTGTGATGTGGGGTGGACCCCCAAAAATACCCGGGTCATCTGTGGTATGCTGGGGTTCCCCCACGAGAGGAAGGTCAACAAGAACTTCTACAAGTAAGTTTTCCATTTGAAATAAAGTAAGTTTTCCATTTGAAATAAAGTAAGTTTCCCATTTGAAATAAAGTAAGTTTCCCATTTGAAATAAAGTACGTTTCCCATTTGAAATAAAGTACGTTTTCCATTTTAAATAAAGTAAGTATTACATTTTAAGTAAAGTAAGTTTTACATTTTAAATGTACGTTAGTCATTTAGTAGACAAACTTATCCAGAGCGACGTCCAGACGTCATCTGAAGGTAGCAGGGATTCACTCATATCAGTGATTATAGACGGGTTGGTTGTTTAGCAACAAAACAGACGCATGCGCAACTATGGGGCAAAACAGATGGGGTTGACAACATCTTAACTATATTTCGTAATCGTTGCCAAAGGTGCTTCATCAAAGTACTGAGTAAAGGGTCTGAATACTTATGTAAATGTAATATTTCAGGATCTTAAAAAAATAAAAACCTGTTTTCACTTTGTCAATATGGGGTATTGTGTGTAGATTGATGAGGGAAAAGAAAACAATTGAATCCATTTTAGAATAAGGCTGTAACGTAACAACATGTGGAAAAAAGTCAAGGGGTCTGAATACTTTCTGAATGCACTGTATTAAGGGTCTGAATACTTTCTGAATGCTCTGTATTAAGGGTCTGAATACTTTCTGAATGCTCTGTATTAAGGGTCTGAATACTTTCTGAATGCTCTGTATTAAGGGTCTGAATACTTTCTGATGCTCTGTATTAAGGGTCTGAATACTTTCTGAATGCTCTGTATTAAGGGTCTGAATACTTTCTGAATGCTCTGTATTAAGGGTCTGAATACTTTCTGAATGCTCTGTATTAAGGGTCTGAATACTTTCTGAATGCTCTGTATTAAGGGTCTGAATCCTTTCTGAATGCTCTGTATCCGTACAGCTCTCCTCTAAACCTCACAGCACCATACTGTCTGTGTTACGGCTGTTATCATGTATTATCGTGTGTGTGTGTCTGCCCATGCATGTGTGTGTATCATTTTGTGTGGGTGTGCGTGCGTGTGTGTGTACAGCTTGCGTGTGTGTGTGTGTGTGTGTGTGTGTGTGTGTGTGTGTGTGTGTGTGTGTGTGTGTGTGTGTGTGTGTGTGTGAACGTCTGCTCACCATCACAAGTGTCTATGTGATTGGTTGGTGATGTTTCCGTTACAGAAACCGTCTGAGAAAGAGAAGAGCAGAGAGCGAGGCCAAAGCCGAGGTTCAGGTTTCTGCTGGTGCCAGGAATAGGTACATCAGGGAACAACCCACTGTCCTGCCCTTCTCCCCCCAGAGACTGAGGTTGCATCCCAAAACGGCACCCTACTCCCTATGTAGTGCACTACTATAGACCAGAGTCCATAGGGTTAGGGCCCATAGTGTTAGGGCCCATAGGGTTAGGGTCCATAGATACAGGGTCCATAGTGTTAGGGTCCATAGTGTTAGGGTCCATAGTGTTAGGGTCCATAGTGTTAGGGTCCATAGTGTTAGGGTCCATAGGGTTAGGGCCCATAGTGTTAGGGTCCATAGTGTTAGGGCCCATAGTGTTAGGGTCCATAGTGTTAGGGTCCATAGTGTTAGGGCCCAGGGGGTTAGGGTCCATAGTGTTAGGGTCCATAGATACAGGGTCCATAGGGCCCATAGTGTTAGGGTCCATAGGGTTAGGGTCCATAGTGTTAGGGCCCATAGTGTTAGGGTCCATAGTGTTAGGGTCCATAGTGTTAGGGTCCATAGGGCCCATAGTGTTAGGGTCCATAGTGTTAGGGTCCATAGTGTTAGGGCCCATAGTGTTAGGGTCCATAGTGTTAGGGCCCATAGTGTTAGGGTCCATAGGGTTAGGGTCCATAGTGTTAGGGTCCATAGTGTTAGGGTCCATAGTGTTAGGGTCCATAGTGTTAGGGTCCATAGTGTTAGGGCCCATAGTGTTAGGGCCCATAGGGTTAGGGTCCATAGGGTTAGGGTCCATAGTGTTAGGGTCCATAGTGTTAGGGTCCATAGTGTTAGGGTCCATAGTGTTAGGGTCCATAGGGCCCATAGTGTTAGGGTCCATAGTGTTAGGGTCCATAGTGTTAGGGCCCATAGTGTTAGGGTCCATAGGGTTAGGGTCCATAGTGTTAGGGTCCATAGATACAGGGTTCATAGGGCTCTGGTTAAAAGTAGTGCACTATGTAGGGAATAGGGTGCCATTTGGGATGCTGCCTGTGTTTCTGACAGTGGGTTGCCTGCAGTGGTCATAGTAGTAGTAGTAACTTTGTAAAACAGTCGTTTTACCCAGCTCGCTTTCACTGCCTCTCATCCTAGCACTAACATGGTGTGAGTTCATCTAACTAACCTCATCCTAGCACTAACATGGTGTGAGTTCATCTAACTAACCTCATCCTAGCACTAACATGGTGTGAGTTCATCTAACTAACCTCATCCTAGCACTAACATGGTGTGAGTTCATCTAACTCTAACCTCATCCTAGCACTAACATGGTGTGAGTTCATCTAACTCTAACCTCATCCTAGCACTAACATGGTGTGAGTTCATCTAACTAACCTCATCCGAACACTAACATGGTGTGAGTTCATCTAACTAACCTCATCCTAGCACTAACATGGTGTGAGTTCATCTAACTCTAACCTCCTCCTAGCACTAACATGGTGTGAGTTCATCTAACTCTAACCTCATCCTAGCACTAACATGGTGTGAGTTCATCTAACTCTAACCTCATCCTAGCACTAACATGGTGTGAGTTCATCTAACTCTAACCTCATCCTAGCACTAACATGGTGTGAGTTCATCTAACTAACCTCATCCGAACACTAACATGGTGTGAGTTCATCTAACTAACCTCATCCTAGCACTAACATGGTGTGAGTTCATCTAACTCTAACCTCCTCCTAGCACTAACATGGTGTGAGTTCATCTAACTCTAACCTCATCCTAGCACTAACATGGTGTGAGTTCATCTAACTCTAACCTCATCCTGGCACTAACATGGTGTGAGTTCATCTAACTCTAACCTCACCCTAGCACTAACATGGTGTGAGTTCATCTAACTCTTAACTTTAACCTTTCCTAGTCACACAAATGCAACTCAACAAATCTAATTGGCATAGATTGCTCAGGCGGACACATATGATGAAAAAATGTAAAACTGTGTTACATTTTGTGAAGATATTCTCTTTAAAAGAAGGAAGTCCTTTTGAAAAGCCCATTTTATGTGAATAATGTCAGTCTGCCCTCTGATGTCCTCTAATGTCAGTCTGCCCTCTGATGTTTGAATGTGCATTTCTATACTTTAACATAGTTATATTTCTATAGTTTAACTTAGTTCAACATAAACCAGGTTTCCATCTAACCTTTTTATGTGAGTAAAGTTCATGTCGGATAGGAAATGTCACCACAAGCCTGATGGAAACAGAACATTTGTCGGTAAACT